TGGAAGAGGGTGAAATGGAGAGCTGGAGCAGAGATATCGCTCTGGCAGACCCCTGGAAAAGCACTTCTAGAATCCTGGGAGTAGCAGAACCTCTGGCAGAAGGTAATCGAGCTAGATGGTTGCTCAGGATCAGAAAGAAAGAAGATTGGGAAGGAAAGGCTCAGAAAGTAACTCTCATGTGAGGTGGAGGAAAAAAGAAAACAAAGAAGAATCCAGAAGCTACCCCTCCTGAAAAGGAACTAGTAGATCTAAATTTGGAAATGATGAAAGCAATCTTAGAACAGATGATGGAATATGTGCGAGAGTCCTTTGAGGAACTAAAAGCCCATCAGAAAGAGCAATTGGAATTGGAAGAAGAAGCAGAGGAGGAAGCTGGTGAGGAAGAGCTAATGGGGCCTGAGGCGGCAGTGGCGGCTGCCCCCCTGCATCAGTGGCACGACAAGCACGACCACCCCAAAGACCCAGAGAGACTGTACCCCAACCAGCGGAGGTGAAGCAAATTCCATTGGGGGTGAAATTGGATTGGAATCCCAAGAGATTTGGGTTCTTCCTAGCCCAGGTATTCACCTACATGCAGATATATGGGAGAACACTGCCTACACATGAGAAAGTCAGAGTGGTCACTCTAGTGCTGGAAGATACTGCTGCTGACTGGATGGTGATCCTCTACAACTGCAATACCCCAGAACTAAGAAATTTTAATCAATTTATGGCAGCCCTCCAATATCGCTTTGAAGACTGCCTGCCAGACCAGAAAGCCCGTGACCGCATAAAAATGATGAAGCAAGGGCAACAATCAGTAGTTGAGTACACAGAGAAATTCTGAGAGTTGGCCAGCCACTTAAACTGGCCTGAAGACATCCTGGTAAGCTGTTTCCAGGATGGCCTGAACGAAGACCTATATAACATCTGTGTAGCCCGTGGAGCTCCAGGGTGACTGTACGATTGGTGCCTCCGGGCAGAGGAGGTGGAAATAGATCAGTGCAAACATCTCCACTGCCTGATGAGAACCAGCTTCAAGCCAATGCCTGAGAGGAGAGATGAGAGCACACGGGTGACACTGACCCCACCCTGCTCTACTCCATGCTTTAAATGTGGAAAGGAAGGGCACCAAGCAATAAACTGCTGCAGCAAATAAACTGCTGCAGCAATAAACTGCTGCAGCAAACTGCTGCGAAGAAAAGTGACCATCAACCGGCGGGGAGACCCATGAGAACCGTACCACACCCAAGGGAGCTGGCGATGGCATTCGAGGAGTTTGTAGAGCTCCCCTGCACCTGCAGGGCAGAGGGTTGAGCTCTGACTCTATCAACCGATGATCTGGGGGCAGCAAAGAGTGACTACAAGAATGAATCCTTGGTAAGTGGGCTGATCGATCCCATAATGGTGCCCTTAGAACTGTTCATAGTGGGCATCAGTAAGAGAGTAAAGTTAGCAGCTTTACTGGACTTGGGATGCACCCGCTACTTAATCAGCCCAAAGCTGGTAGGGAAGTTGGGAATACCCCTCAGGAGACTCAAGACCCTGATCACCTTTTGCCAGCTCAATAGGTCAGTCACAGGGGGGGTCCCTGCCAGTTTTGCCACCAGACCCTTGCAAATCTCCATGGGAGACCACTCAGAGACTTTGTGGTGGCCCCCGGTACCCGGTACCCCATGGTAAATTGGAGGGAGGGGTACCTAAAATTCCTGAAGAAGAGGGCCCCTCCCCCATTCAGATAAAAGAGCAGGAGGCATGGACTACAATGTGAATTGGCTTCTGCCCTCAGCAAGCAGGAGCTGCAGAGCCTCCCACTGGAATACAGGAACTTAGCTGAAGTGTTCAGCAAGCAAAGATTGGATGAGCTCCTGCCCCACCAACCTACAGACTGTGCCACTGAAATTGTCCCAGGGTGAAACTCCCAAAGCCAAAAATGTACTCCATGACCCCTAGGAAACTGAACGGACTTCACAAGTTTATTGACAAAAATTTGGCGCAGGGGTTTATCCAGCCTGCCAGACCCTGGTGGCTGCCCCTGTGCTATTCAGAGAAAAGAAGGATGGGTCGCTTCATCTCTGCGTTGATTTTAGGAGTCTGAACGCAGTGTGTGTGGAAAATATGTACCCCCTCCCCCTAATGAGGTACATGCTAGCGCACCTGTCGAAAGGGAAATTTTCTCTAAACGAGACTTGGGGGAGTTGTAATATCAAATAAGGATACATGAGGGGGATGAATGGAAGACCGCTTTCAACTGCCCCATGGGCTGTTTCCAATTCAAGGTGCTACCTTTTGGATTACAGGGGGCGCCTGCTATGTTTATGCAACTAATCAATGAGGTCCTTCATAAGCACCTGTATGAGGGGGTTTTAATTTATCTTGATGACATCTTAATCTATACTGAGACTAAGGCAGAGCATATTAAACTAGTCAGAGTGGTTTTAAATAAATTGCGCTCTGCTAAATTATATATCAAGCTCTCAAAGTGCGAGTTCCACAAAGACTACATTGACTATTTGGACTATTGCATCTCAAGCAAAGGGGTGGAGATGGATCCAGAGAAAGTGCAAGCCATGTTGGAGTAGGCTCCCCCTCGCACTAGGGAGCAATTACAGAGCTTCTTAGGCTTTGCAAATTTTTACCGGCAGTTTATTCCTTCATTTGCACCAATTGCACTCCCCGTCACAAACCCCCTAAAAACCAAAGGTGAGGACAAACCCAAACCCAGCCATCTGCTGAAATGGACAGGGGAGTGTCAAGCAGCATTTGAGAAACTAAAGAGACTTTTCTCGGCAGAGCCGATACTGAAGCACCCGGACTTGGAGCAAGCTTTTGTTATTAAGGCTGACACTAGTGATGTGGCCGTGGGAGCGGTTCTCCTCTAGAGAAATGAGGAGGGCCAATGTCCTGTGTTTACACCTCTAGAAAACTGTCTGAGCAGTGGTGAGCAGCCTGGGAGAAGGAAGCTTATGCTGTGCAATGGGTCTTCCTGACCTGGAGGCATTTTCTAGAGGGGAGTAAAATATCATTTCAGGTGTGGACTGATCACAAGAATTTCGAAGCTGTGAAAACCCCTAGGAGGCTGTCCCCTAAGTAAGCAAGATGTCTCAGCATTTCCACTGATTCAATTTTACAATTCATTACTTTCCTGGGGGGAAGAATTTCCTGGCAGATATTGTCTAGGATGCCACAATACAATAGTGCTAAATTGGAAGTAACTAAACCATTCCTAACTCCTAAACAGTTAGCAGCACCTGTCACTACTCGAGCACAAACAAAGGTGAAGGTGTCAATAGATCCGACAGTGGCCCAGGAGTTTAAGAAAGCTCTGGAAGCCAATGAGTGGTTTCAAAGCCATAAGAACCTGTATCTAATAAAAGATGATCTGGCCTGTGTTGGGGAGAAAATATACGTTCCAGCAGCTCTAAGGCTGAGAGTAATGCAAGCTGGGCATGATTTGAAAATTGTTGGACACTCTGGGTTTATCAAAACCCTACATCTGCTTAAAAGGCAATTTTGGTGGCCCTCTTTGAAAAAGGACATAGAAAGCTACATAGCTAGCTGCCTCACATGCGCTGCAGCTAAGAGGAGGCAAGGAAAAGTGCCAGGACTATTGCAGCTGGTGGCGAGCCCTTCAGCACCCTGGAGAGAGATCTCTATGGACTTTATTTAGAGCTTCCTGAAAGTGCTGGAAATATAGTCATTTGGGTGGTTAGGGACCTGTTCTCCATGCAGGCCCACTTTATCCCGTGCCCAAAGACCTCAATGGCCAAAACGCTGGCTAAACTTTTTGTGCAGCACATATACTGGTTTCATGGTGCCCCAAAAGTATAATTTCAGACAGGGGGCTTCAATTCACCTCCATCTTCTGGGGAGCCTTTTTGGACCTCTTGGGTTCTAGTCAAGGATTATCATCTAGTCATCATCCTCAAACAAATGGGGGGGACAGAATTATTTTTACTCAGTTCTAGAACAGTATCTCAGATGCTTTATCAACTATCAACAGGACAACTGATCTGTAGCCTTTTGCTGAAGTTGCTTACAATAATGCTATGCATTCCAGTACTGGTTATACCCCTTTTCAGGTTGTGAATGGACAGACATTTGTTCCCATACCAGAATTACCAGCTAAGGAATCTAATATTCCCTCCTTGCAAGAATGGATCAAACAGTTGCGAAATACCTGGCTGGTAGTACGAGAAGCCCTAGATGAGGCCAGAGAAGTATATAAGGCTCAGGCTGATAAAAAGAGGGTAGAGCAGAAACCTTTTGTGGTTGGAGATAAGATGTACCTCTCTACTAGATACTTGCAACCTTTACAACTTTCTAGAAAATTGGGTCCTAAGTTTGTTGGACCTTTCCCTATCAAACACATTATTAACCCAGTGGCTGTTGAATTACAGCTCCCTAAGGGCCTAAGACAAATTCATCCTGTCTTTCATTGTAACCTACTCAAACCTGAGATCACCTCCAATCTTAAGCCCCTGGCTCCCCTGACACCTACGCCCGTATTGGTTGAGGGCGAACAACACTTTGAACCGTGAGACATTTTAGACTCCTGTAAACATCATGGGTCCATTCAGTACTTAGTAGCTTGGGAAAATCTCCCATCCTCTCAAATGAGTGGATATACAAAAAACATATTAATGCTCCTAGGTTACATAATTTTTTTTCACACTAAGTATCCTAATAAGCTTGTTTTCTTCCGCTTTCCTCTTTTGTGTTATTGCAGGTGGATTATCTTTCTTTTAGGGGGACTGTATGTCAGGTCCCCAAAGAAAATCAGTTTTTCCCTATATCTATTCCTGAACCTGTAACTTTTCTTTGTGGCCTGCCATTCTGTTGGGAGGGGGGGATGTCTTGGGGATGTTTTGCACTGTCTTGCTATTGAGCCCTTCCCCCAGGGGATGGAATGCATTACCCTTATCTAAAAGACGGTTACGCTTGGAGCCAGAAGGAAACAAAAGTGAGAGAGACCTTGAAAGAACACATCAAAGAAACCAGTTAATAAAACACTATACCACCTGTGGATTGGCTGGAATTCAAATGAACACTGGAACTCTGGGGAGAGGAGTATTGAATATTGCTTTTATTATATTGCTTTCATGGGTTTTTCCTCAGATCTTGCCTTGTTTTCCCTGCTATCAGTAGCCCCTAATAAAAGTTCCTTTTGAGACATTGCCTATTTCAAGAGTTCTGCTTTCTTGGGTGGCTTAGCTGAGGTAGGCCCTTACAGACTGGCTAATTCTTCTTTTGGTGACTCAGCCTGGCAACCACTATTTCTTCCTGGAAAGAATATATTCTTGTAGATCATATGTTTTTCTGGATAAAATACTGATGAACAGGTCTCCAGTTTAAATTTCTATTTAAAGTTCATTTGTAGATATCGATCTGTCTTGCAGAATCATTTAGAGAGCCTTTTATTGCACCTGTGTACTTATTTTTATATAGCTATGATGTAAATCACATTTATTTTAAATGGCCTACATGTCTTCATGAATTTCAAATGCGGCAACTAATAACAAGAAGCTGAAATGGAAAGTACAAAACTATGCTATTATAATCACAAAGGGATACAAGACAAGACATTGAAACAGAAAGAAAATATGGACACCAAGATGCTTTTTTCAACAGCAATCTTGTATTGCATAAAATATGCCATTTCAGTTTTTCAGATTAAAAAAACTTTTACTGCTTATTTGGGTAATACCACCACCAGCCACCTCCATTTTTTTTGCCATTGAAATTTATGTCATATATAGCTTTCCACTATTTGACAAAGTAGACCACAACTTGCTGCTTAGTAAGCTAGAAAAAGGTGGGATAGACAACATCACCACCAGATGGATCTATATCTGGCTAACAAATCATACTCAACGAGTAATCGTTAATGGTACTACTTGGAGAGAAGTAAGCAGTGGGGTACCACAAAGCTCCGCCTTAGGCCCAGTACTCTTTAATATCTTCATAGATGAGGGAATAGAAGGGGAACTCATCAAATATGCAGATGACACTAAACTGGCAGAAATAGCCAATATCCCAGAAGACAAGCTCAGGATTCAAAAAGATCTTGACAAACTTGAATAATGGGCCCTATTCAACAAAATGAATTCCAATGTTGAGAAAAGCAAAGTTTTACATTCAGGAAGGAAAAATCAAAGGTACAAGTCCAGATTAGGTGAGACCTGGCTCAAAAACAGCAACTGTAAGAGGGACCTTGGAGTCCTAGAGGATGATCACTTGACTATGAGCCAGCAGTGTGCAGCAGCAGCCAAAAAAGTTAATACAATCCTGGGTTGTATAAACAGAGGCATAGAATCAAGATCATACAAAGTACTGGTACTGCTTTACAAAACCCTAGTAAGATCACACCTGGAATACTGCAACCAATTTTGGTCACCATACTACAAAAATTTTTTTGAGACCTTGGAAAAAGTTCAGAAAAGAGCAACTAAAATGATCAAAGGCTTGGAGACTAAAACATATGAAGAATGGCTGCAGGACTTGGGCTTGGCTAGTCTAAAGAAAAGAAGAAACAGGGGTGACATGATAAGAGTATTCCAATATTTGAGGGGCTGCCACAAAGAAGAGGGCATCAAACTATTCTCCAAAGCACCAGAGGGCAGGACAAGAAACAATTGTTGGAAACTATCCAAAGAAAGAAGCAACCTGAAATTAAGGAGAAACTTCCTAACAATGAGGACAATTAACGAGTGGAACAGTTTTCCTTCAGAAATTGTGAGCGCTCCATCACTGAAGGTTTTTAAGAAGAGACTAGACCAGCGGTTCTCAACCTATGGGTCGCGACCCCATTTGGGATCGATCGACCATTTCACGGGGGTCACCAAGCAAGGCTATCCGCCATTTTTTCCCCTTTTCCGGCGGATGCCTTACCTCCCTTGAGCTGGGCCAGCTGGTGGTCAGCCTGCTCCGTCTCTGCCACTTGCCAGCTATGCCTTGGCTGGCGCAGGGGGCGGAACCACGCATGTGCGGCGCTCCCGGGCAGGGAAAGTCCTCAACTTACGACTGGTTGGGTAGTCCTTGACTTATGACCGGTTTAGTCCTCGACTTACGACCGGTTTAGTCCTTGACTTACGACCGGTTGGGGGTCGCGGCATTAAAAAGGTTGAGAACCACTGGACTAGACAGTCACTTATCTGAAATGGTATAGGTTCTCCTGCTTGAGCAGGGGGTTGGACTAAAAGACCTCCAAGGTCCCTTCCAGATCTATTGTATTGTATTGTATTGTATTGTATTGTATTGTATTGTATTGTATTCTATTCTATTCTATTCTATTCTATTCTATTCTATTCTACACTAGCTACACAATGTAAAAATTTACATCATGTAGCCAAATTACACATTATATACATACAATTACAAGCATTATTAATAGTCATAATCAGCAGCATTATTAATAGTCATAATCTTGATGGGAAAAAGGGGAATCAATATAAAACTGGCCCAGCCTAGCAAAGTCAAGCAATGGCTACTATGTCTGATAGTTTTAAAAATTGTTGAGAATTTAATGAACTAGAAAGACTAAATTTCCCCAATCCATTTCCTGGTGTATATCACTCATTAAGATGATCAAAGTAGTCCTAGTCTTTGCTGAGAGCCCCAAAGAAATGAATACGGATGATTAGCAAATTTCAATTATATCTAGAGATATGAGGCCACTCCCTTTTCAAGCAGTTTGTGTGGCAGACCAACACATTTTTCCAGGACTTCCAGATAAAAAGGAAGTTTTTTTTAAAAAAGTATAATGTTGTGAATGCATAATCTCCTTTAAGCAGAAAGAGACATAACCTTTATTCAAGAAAGAATTAATAAATATATTAACTAGGGCCAGTCCTCACCTTGCCAATTTAGCAAACCATTGAATTCATCATGACCTCTTCTACTTTCCATGATCTCTGTTCAGAGAGGAAACAATCTATGTTTCAAGTCATATAATAAAGAGAGGGTCATATTTGCCATAGGGAACATAAACTTCTAATCTGCTCTTAGTCAAATTACATAAATACCCAGGATAAGAAGTCCAACCCCTGAAATTGTTTCAGCTAGCTCTGATAATGATATTTTAGGCAATGATGTGATGATACACATAGACCTTTTCTTCTGTTTTGTCACTTGGTTCTACCAGAATGTACTAGTGGGTACATGATCCTATAAGTTGTCTCAGTTCAGGAACATTGCCCATAGAATCCTCCTAGTTCACTTTCAAGAAGAGTTTGGGATATTGTTTTATGATTGTTATACTTCTATATCAGCAGGCATTTCCAGTCAATTGTCATGAGGGACAGTGGTCAAACCCTGAAACATTACATTCACAGGAAAGCTCATTCTCTGGTTTAAGTGGATGCCAGCAGCATCCACTTTTATGCAAGGTGGATGGATTCAGTTACAGCTCCTATGGGAAGACCAAATCTTCTCTCTAAATTTAGAATAGAATAGAATAGAATAGAATAGAATAGAATAGAATAGAATAGAATAGAAGGGATCTTGGAGGTCTTCTAGTCTAGCCCCCTGCTCAAGCAGGAGAACCTATACCATCTCAGACAAGTGACTGTCTAGCCTCTTCTTAAAAATCTCCAGTAATGGAGCGCCCACAATTTCTGGAAACAAGCTGTTCCACTGATTAATTTAGTAGTTTGATTTTGTTTAATTTTGATTTAAGCCTCTACATCAAATAAGTAAATATAATATCTCTTTAGTTTTGACCTGACTATTAGTGGAAGCTCAAGAATAGAAGGTCATTATTTTCTTCTCCTTTTGTCTACTGAGGTTAATAAATTTCTGTAAATAGGAATATTTGGAAAATATTGAGATACTTTTTAGAATTATGTATTACTTACTGCTTTACTGTCATGAATAAAAATATTAATCCATCTGACTTCCAAATATTTGGAATACTTTTTATACTATATCTGGAACCTGGGACAATTATCTCATTACCCTCAGCAGGTTTCCAATGTAACTTAACTATTCAAATCACTATTACTATTGCAAAGAGATTACTGTTATTATACTTCAGCACATAAATTTATAACTTAAAACCCAGAGCTAAATAACTTTATTCAGAAAAAACATGATACCTACTTTGGAGTAATCAAGTTCTTGGGGTGCAGAATCAGATAGGGCTTGTGCAAGAGCATTCACTATACTGACTGGAGGAGATGAAAGCGAGGACTGCACAGGTTCTTGCTGCAAAGGACTCTTTGGTTTTGAAGGTAGCCTGCCTCTTCTTCCTTTTAAACTGTCAGTACGGACAACTAGTCAAGGAGCAAAAACAAAAACATAATCAAGCTTGAAAGGGACTATGATAAATTTCTACAAGGAACCTATTACAATAACACTGCACAATCACTTTCAAATAATAAAATCAAACAACAAAAGTGTTTATCTTTTTATACATTCATATTATTACTTTCATTTACATAAATGGATGTTATTGGGGAAAGAACCAATAGCAATAATTTAACAATGTCATTCATCTTAATTGTAACATCTTATATGAGTTTTTCATAATAGAAGCTATATATATATTTGATTTCCATATATTCCCATAAATTAGAAAGACATTTGCAATTAAAATATAATATTTGAGCTAATATATAGTAAAATTTAATACATGCATCTTATGGCTACATGAATGTAGAAGCAACATAGTTATAGGTTTTCTTCAGGGATAGTTTGCATTAATGATTTTAATTAACTATAATACTAAGTAATCAAAAATTTAGTTGATGAATTAAAACATCAACAGATATGCAATCTGAGCTATTGCAGGATATGTATAAATATAATTAAAACACATTTCAATAATAATTAATACTTTCCTAATATTAACATTTTGAAACTACAGAAAGATTCAAGAGTATTTTAATAATTAATAATAATTAGCATCTGATTTCATGCATATAGATCCAACACCACGAATAAATCTACTAGAATTTTAATTAAATGCAGTTTTGAGCACTGCAAATTTTTATTTTACAAATAAAATGCAATGATTTCCTTCCTGTGTCTAAAGATTTAAAACACACATTGTGTGAAATCTTGGAAATGTTGCCTTTAAAAGTTATGCCTGACTACTTAGATCTTTGAAGAATCTACTTATCATTTGGAATGAAGATATTACAACATAATATGCTTTTCAGCTCATATATAAATCACACAGAAATAGGGCATTCACCATTATTTCTAAAATTCAGCATTAAAATAAGAAAGCCATGCCTTTTAAAAGCAAACTATTTGGTATTAACAATATGTGAGCTAATATTAGTGAATGCTTTACCTTCTTTTACCATACCAACACTGAGACACTTCTGAAATCGGCAGTACTGACATCTGTTTCGCCGACGCTTATCTACTAGGCAGTTTTTATTGGCCAGGCAAACATATTTTGCATTTTTCTGAACTGTTCTCTAAAAAATATAATAGAAGAGTCATCTGAATGAACTGAGACCTTAACCACTCTTTTTTATACACCAGAATTAAAATGCAATTGTATACTTCTTATAAATAGATAAAATTAATTTCCTAAAATAGTGAAGTTATCAGGTTGTCGTTTGGGGATTAATTTTTAATATTCTATTGAGAATAATTTTCTATTTGGTTCAGTTTGGTGAATACTGATCCTACTAAAGTAATAAAACATTTATCTATATTGGTATTCAAAAATAAGTTAATTCAATAAGAAACAAGATATCAAAAAAACCTAAATATAGAAATTAAATTACAAATTATATAAAGATATTTTTATAGCATGCCTTGTTATCATAGGCTTACACAAAAAGAAGGAATATGGACAGTTATTTTAATGATGTGGCTAAATTCAATTTTAAAATGTGTTTGTTTATTCATTCATTCTTTAAATTTATAAGGGTACTCAACTCAATATTTCTCAAGAGCTATGGATATAAATTATAAATTAACTATAAATAGATAATTCTAGATAGCTCTATATTTTAAGATAAGTGTAATATTTGTCAAGCATTTATTACTAAATCTAGTGAATTAAGTTTTTCATGTTAGAAAAGCAACTACTTCTGTGTCATCATCGTAAATTTGGAGCTTTATTATTTCTACAACAGTTTGTGATTTAAAAAATCCATTTTTCAAATGTGAAAACTTACATGTTTCTCAGGCAGTAAGAATATAATTTGCAAAACAAGCCTTATTAAAATTTATTAAAATTAGATATTTGAAAAACTATTTAATATTTTTTCAGTGTATCAAGAAATTCTGTGCATGCATGCTATATTTTTTATACATTTCTATTACAAAAGTAATAACATTATCAAAACTATCCTTAAAACATATTCAGAAATACTACAATTCACAAGAGTATTGTGTTACAACTCTAAAACATACATTTGTGGCACTTCTAAGCTGGAGCGCTATGTTTTTTTCAGAAATAATTCTCATTATAAAATCAGTGTATCAATCAGGATAAACTAATATAGAATCTTGTTTGGTATCCTCAAAAATTGTTAAACATTTTGCCAAAAGTCTAACAGCATGATTATTAAGGAGAAAACAAATGCCTATATTATTTGACATTTATTATAAAACATTAGGAATCAATAAATTCTAAATAACTTTCCTTGGAAAAATCATACCTATTTTATTTAGTATCAAATATTCTCTGAGGATATACGGTGCAACAATAAATTGCCTTTTATGATTATAGATTAATCACAAAATGACTTCAGTTTTTTTAAATTCAAGACTTATTGTAGAATTATTTAGCTTTAGTCTTCTATTCTGAAGGTCAGAAAAAAGCAGCACCAAGTTATTTATTAAGAAGTAACAGTGGTTTAGATTTGTAAGCTTCTTTGGATATAATTCTTCATATGCTTTCTTGTGAGTAAATTTCATTCATTCAATTATACTTATTTCTAGATGATATGATCAGGTTTGAGTTCATCATATGATATGGCTGCTACCCTAAGCAACTTGCTAAGTAACTTTTTTAACCATAATTTTGTAAAAATAGTTGAACTATTATATTTTAATACAAAAACAATCTATGTTGCTGCACATTTCTTGCAGAAAGTCAGGAAATACAAGTTATAAAAATAAATTAATATGGTTGACAATAATAGTAGTATAAATGTTGACTGATGAAGATTTTAAAAAAAGGAAACCAAATTACAGAATTTTAAATTACATCATCCTCCCCACCCTTCAAATTTTCTTTCTTCTTTCTTGTCTCCCTTTACTATCAGTAATTAGATAATTAGATTCCTAAAATATAATGAATACTGATAGTACTAAATACATGAATATGAATAGCTACAAGCAATGAAAGAATACTGATGAATTACAAGGACATATATGTCCCATAGTGTCCATGGGGTCTGCAGAGCTGTAGACACAATACGGACTGATACATCTTAAATTGCGATCTCATGAGAACTGGTGGTATATTTGATTGGTTGACTGAGATGTGCAGAGAAATCATATATTCATTCAAAAATTAATCTCCTTTCCTTTTGCATACAAGTTTATGTATTTATTTATTTATTTATTAAATTTGCATGCTACCCCTCTCTCTAATAAGCTATAAGGTCAGATATTGGCATATGAAGAAATTAAGTAATTCTTACCTTGAAGAAGCCTTTACATCCCTCACAAGTCCGCACACCATAATGCTGGCAAGCAGCATTGTCCCCACATACAGCACAAGTTCCTTCTCCTGATGAAGAACTTCTGCTAGATGGAGAGGGAAGGCCACTGCTACTACTGCTGCTCTCACCTAGAAGGTTGGAACTGGTTGTATTGAGGCCCAGTGGTGCAAAAGCTAAAGTGGCTGCTCTCCTGGACATGGGGTGCCCATATGGATGATTTTCCATAGCTGCTTGACTAGCTCTAGGCCTATCTGATCCAATAGGTAGGCTCAAGGCAGTGGCATCATAGCACATGTGGCCACCTGCAATAGGTGTATGGGGTGGTGAATGCTTGAAATGGAAAAGTGGAAAATGGCCAGGCATGGTTTTCATAGGGGCAGTGTCTACCAGGTGGCATGGGGCCATGCAAGTCTGTGCTGGTGAAAGAGAATGTGAGGGTGATTCATCCCAGATCTGTTGGGGTATGAACCCAGGGGTAGAAGGTGAAGAGGGTGGGGACTGCTTGAAGTACATGGAGGTGCTGGCCATGCCTTCATCCACTGTTAGAAAAAGTGAAGAGTGATAACTGTGCATCCGATTATCTTCCATCTTGATGAGGGGTCTCTGGCTTGCAGAGGAAGGTGATGAAGAAGAGGAGACAGACTGCATTTGGTATAGGCAGGAGGGCTTCAGTTCATAGCCCCCAGAATAACCTTCCATAAAGGTACTGAAACTGGGCAGAGAGGTGGCAGCAGTGGCATTGATCTCAGCACTATTTAATTCCATTGTCAGCTTTGCGTAGTCAGGATTCATGATGTCAGGATTGTATTCTGAACCATAGGAAGTTTGAGCAGCATAACTTGAGCAGCAGGCTGAAGGGCTGTATTGGGCTTGCATACAGGGCATATCTACAAAAGTAAAATAGAGTTCCATTAACAATATTTGCACTTCTTTCATGGTGAATATGACAAATTTTGTACCTGGAAAAATATTTCGTAGTCAGGGAAAGCACACAGTATCACTTTCATTTAGCAGGACAGTTACCAACAATTAGCAATGCAAATTCCATTTCCTGCCTCATGCAAAGAAGGTTGCTGGGTTCCACTTGAAATAGGCAGAATAAACTCGATGGATAAGTCATACAAAATTACTTTATTCCAGGTATCCTCAAGACAATAACTCACAGTTATTGTAGAAGTTCTTCCAGAATGTAGATTGTAATCTGGACCCATCTCATAGGTAAAAGGATAATGGATTTCCCCATTCTACGTAAATCTTATATGCTGCTATGGAGCTCCTAGCCTCATGGCTAGGATTCATGGAGAGAGATAATAAAATGGCACGTAACAGGATGTCCCATAATAAAGACACAAGCCCCTCCCAGTGGCCAATTAGAACACAGGTAACAACTAAAATTGCATTTCCCAGAAACCCTTAAGGGGACAGCATTTTAACCCTTAAAATGCTACTTACTCTACACACAGTTTCCTAAGCTAGCTATATACTGGGCCAGCACATTCCACATACTATACAATAGTTAAGATGGATTAGGACTGAGAGAATGAAATTCCATTCTATCAGCCCATGGAAACTTTGGTTTAGTTAATCTCAGTTCATTTACAAGGTTATTTTTGAGATAAAAATCAAGGGAGACTCCTATGTCCTCTCTATTTTTGTTACTTTATGAGATGGCAAAGCAGGGATATTGAGAAAATAAAGTTGCAGCAACAATAACACAATAGTAACACTGCATTATAATCTAGAGTGAAATGTGTGTAGTGAAAGATACCCATAGTTAATAGGTACACATGCTTTCTGTAACATTAAAGGTGTTCTATGTAGGAAGACTGTCACATTAGTAGCAACCTTTGTGTTAGCAGTGAATTACAAGGAATTAGTGGGATAGCAAATATATCTGGTTTCAGAAAGATATACCCAACAAAGGATATATCCAATTCATTTCCAACAATGGAACTGTCTGGATTTGTTTGTTTTTTTAAAAATATAAAAAAACCTCACTGAAACTGAAAGATATTGTAGCTTCTTAAATGTTTTCATTTATTTTATATATTATGGAGGGAGGGGGAGTGACATTAAAAAGAAAGGAAAGGGAAGGGACGGGGTAAAAATTCACCTCAAATAAAGATCAGTAACTTCTGTATTTTCCAAAGTTGCTACTTGGATTTATGTGCTATAATAAAAATATTTTTATTACAGAGATTTTCTATTATAGTAAACAAATATTTAATCAGAACAACATATTAGCAGGAATTAGATCCCTCAAAATAAAATATGATTTTTAATGTACTTTTTCTTTATTTCTTAAAGAAATGGAATTAAGAATTTTGAGATAAAGGAGAATTAAATATCTACTCTAAAAATCCAAAGGCAGTTGTTCAGTTTTAGCTGTTATGGAGTTATATGGAACTTGTGAAGAAAAGGGCAAAATATATATTGTATATTTATGAAATATGACAGGACATTTTAGGCAAAGAGTTTTAGACTAATCCATTTATTTTGAAAAGCAAATACGCTTGCGTACTAATCTCTATTTTTAATAAAATAATTAAAACATGAAACAAAAACATTCATATAAAACTGCTTAATATTACCATATTTTAACTAATGGCAATGGCAAAAAAGCATTAAATTATTTCAAATTTATCTATTAAAAAACTGCATGAAAAATAGTGTTTGATATTTAAAATTGTATTTTATAGGAAGTTTATAGCATTCCTAATATTAATTAGGTAACAATATGGTTTTAACAAAAACTTAAGTATCATAATCTGACATTGGTTGAGAAATTGTTCTCAACAAAAAATTCCTTTTTGACCTAAAGAAAGATAATCTCTTCTCCAAAATTGTAACATGTATTTCTGAATATCATAGAAAATGTTTCAGAGAAAATAACACTTTTAAAAATTGCTTTTCCAAATCAATTAGTTCATTTATGAATTCAACTTTGCAAGACATCATTAGTGGGAAGGAAAAAAGCAGCTGCCTGACTAGGGGTAAATGCAAACAATGCTTTTTACCTGGAGAGTGTCTTGCTTGTTGAATGATGGGTGTAACTGACAGGATAGTGGCTGAGGCTGTTGCTGCTAGTGGAGCAAGCGTATGTGGTGGTGGTAATCCCTCCTCAATAGTGTTGTGTCTGGAGCCAGGGCTCACAAGAGAGGGTTTTTCCGACCTGGATTCTGAGAGAGACACAGAAAGACAGAGAGAAAGAGAAAAAGAGACAGAGACAGAGACAGACAGGCAGACAGACAGGCAGAGAGAGACAGAGAGACAAACAGACAGAGAGAGACAGAGACAGGGAGAGAGAGACAGACAGACACAGACAAACAGACAGACAAGACAGAAAGACAGAGAGTTGGTTCCTACTCCTTAGCAGTCATTTACACATAATCTCCAAAGCTCCTGAAAGCTCCTTTCAATTCCCAAGTCCTAAACAAATAGACAATGGAAACAACAGCTGAAGAAATTTAACTTTCCCTTAATCTCTGAATCGGATGAAAGACCAAATTCAAATGTGTATTTAGAAGCAGAGTCTTCTAATGCAGTGGCCCCCAACCTTTTGGGCACCAGGGGCTGGTTCCATGGAGACAGGTTTTTCTGTGGATCGCATGGGGCATGGTTTCATGTGCTACCTGATCATGCAGATGGGGCTTTGCTTGTTTGTGTGGCCCAATTTCTGGTATGCTGTGGCCCGGTCCTGTCCACAGACCAGGGGCTAGGGACCCCTGTTCTAATGTGTGTCCCTAGAAATTTGATAACTGTCCCTACATTAAATCCTGGGATTAATCTGATGTAGCCAAAACAAGTATCATTAGACCACAAGGCAAATATCCTCTAGTCACTGCTTGAAGAATTCACACATATCTTTGTTTTCCTCCCACATAAATAAAAGTGTCTTATTCTACAATGAAGCTGACTTCCAGGACCAAAAACCTGGGAAAGGCATTCAGTTCCAAATATGCTGTGAGCTGCTCAGATTAATGCTGATGTTTGTACCTCAATTTGTCTTGACATATAGTTTGGCCCTAAATCCTACTGAGTTGAGCAACTAATAAAGTCAGCTCAACAGTAGACAGGGCAGACTGCTTAACTTAACTTGCCCATACTTTTTCTTACAATAGTAAGACAAGAAAAGAATTGCTTCAGTAGGTCTGTAGTGGACAGCACCTTTTTGTATCTGAAAACTGGATCTTCACATTTTTGTGCACAATTTTCACTAAACCAAGGGAAATGGAAAGAAAAATGGATCATTCGGAGAATCTCTCATTACTTCCTTGCACTAATCATTGAGATCTCATGCTCTGATAGTGAAGAGCAAGAACAGGTGACTATATCTGATAGTCTCCTTCCATATATGAATCATAAATACTGTTGGCAAATCCTTTCAGTCCTGCAACCTCTGTTGTATAGGAATATCACCTGAAATGCTGAATAACCCATTTCTCAAGTTCCATCCTATTGAAGGTGCCTTGAAAAATGCTCTGAACCTCATCCCCACACACTTCCCATAACTGTGAATCAGATGGGGACTATATCTCTTAATAATTTTAATTTTTTCATTATGAAAGAAGAAAGTTTTTTTGACTGCTCACCTATTGAGTTTGCATCTCAATAAGTGCTTTCTCTAAATTAATTCCATTACCCCATCTCTTCCATTATCTTACAATTCCAGAATGTTTGTATTTGGTATAGATAGCAAAATACTACTCATCACAGTCTTTGTGATTTCTTTGCACTTTCAAACTAGTTTTTTTTCCTATTTTTGTAATTCCATTAGAAAAATTTCTAATCTTAGGAACCAATTAATCCAATGTGTTTTCTGTCAGTTTATCATGCTACCAGATTAGTTAAGGGTTTTAAAAGTATGGAGTATAGGAGACATCATATAAAAAGAAAATTACCAAATTACTGTTCTCTCCTTTTTTAAAGTGGTATTAAGACCATGGATAATGTAATTAGAAGCTCTGCAATTTACTGTATCCTGTCAATATATTGCTAAAAACAATAGTTACAATTCTCCTGCAGTTTCATAGTTTAATTTTAAGGAGAGGTACAAAACTTTAAATCATGATTGGGCAGAGACTTACTTTTGGTAATGGCCATGAATACATTTTAAAATAACTTTCAAGGTTCAAAAGAGGTATCAAAATAGGTGTCCTGAGATTGTTTCCTCTTTCCTCTCAAATGATTTCCCCTTAGAACAGCACATATCTCTAGCTATGCACCTGTAGAAGAAGCAATACTGGGGTTCAAACAATCCTCCAAATAGTAAGGTTACTTCCTTTTTTCAACTGTATTTAAGAATGAAGCAGATATTCTCTGCATCTCCAGATATTTTGCTCAGCTTCTAGGACTCAGCCTGCTAGAAAGAAGCACTGAGGATCAACATAGGGGAACCTCCCATATGCTTCGTTTTTAGTCAATTGTCATCTTTTAGCCCAGTTATCAACAAAGGGGTTGAAATTCAGCGGCTTTCACCACTTGATCTTATCAGAAAAGTTTGGAATAATCTCGGCGGCGCCTTCATGGCTCCTCTCAACCTTTTACCCGTGCAAGCTCCTGGTGCGCTAGCAGCTGAAAAGAGCCAAGGATGGAGCAGCAGCAAATCCGTTGACTTTGTTCGTACCCATCCACGAGGAAAAAACTCAGCAACTTCCACGGCCAATTCCTTTAACAAGCATTGCTTTCTACTCCAGATTGCCCTATTGTCTTTTGTCAGTCTCTCTCCCTAAACCTGCCTCACCCTTTCACCGAAATCACACTCTCGTCAGAAAAACTCGCAGCAAAGGGTCAAAAGCACAAATTTCTCTGAAAGGACGCTGATCTCCGGTAGCTCCGGACCAGGACAAATTGTTGCCATTCATCACGGCGGCGTGGGGAAGCCC